ACCCTCAGTCGTGTTCACCGACCTGGGAAATAATTTTCCCACGTTGTGTGTTCAACCAATCAGAAAATACGTGGTTATCCCGTGCGGTTATCGTGTACAGAACGGAACAATTCCGTATGATTCGTTGAGGTATGATTAAGTGTCTGAGCATTTAAAATGATCGAGTAAGCGAGTGCGAAATCGTTGAAACTACCGATGATGAAAACGAATAATTCATATCTGATTTGTATTTTTTTCTTTCTTTCGATCTGTCACTGAGATCACTGATAAAAAGTTTTCGTTATGAAAAATTGACTTTCGAAGTAAATTCCGAGCTGACACCTTCTTTTCTAAATCTCTTGTAAACACGCAAGAATTCCAAACTCTCGAACGATAAAGTAAAGTAAAAAGAAAAAAGAAAAAAATGTAAAATATGCGAAATACGTAATAGGTATATCGAAATATGCAAACGAGAAACGTTGCAAATACGTTGTAAAATCCCTTTCACGTCAAACAAAAGATATGCCGCACGTTTGCATTTGCACGCGCAATTCCATTTCAAGCTGAACGCAAACCAACGCCTGAAATTCTTCTGTTCTACAGGTGACAACCTCAAACTTTTTACGAGCAATCTTAATTAATTTACGTCTCGACGCAAGTTTCACGGTTCGACAGTTCTAGCACTGTTGGCAAGAACAGTCACAATCTTTGCGCGTAATCAGGATTTGATCGAGGAGAGCGTGTCGATACAGGGAGGCAACAGGGACAAAAATTAATTGTTTCACACGGTGGAAATCGTTCGAAAACGATGGCTAATTACCAAGTGAACTAGGTCACGTGTCGCTACCGGGCAAAATGATAATAAGAAGTATTGTCTGTAATACGATGCAGTGTCGAAATTCACGTGGAACGCTCGCATTCTGTCTGGTCGAGTCGAGGAACGTCGATGGTCGTTCGATCCGATGATTATACGCGTATAACACGACATGTAACAGAGAAAGGGAGTGGTCCAGAATCAAGGTCGGCGACTTTATTCGTAAAGTTGTTGCAACGAAACGAAATGAAATGAAAGACCGACCCGATGTTCGGTGTCTCGAATTCATAATTAGATACTACGTTTATTTGAAATATTTTAATTTGCAATTTATAACGAAACACAGAAAAATTGATGTTAATGATATTTCTGACAGATAGATATTCCAAATTATACGACAGACGTATCTTTAGAGTTCGTTATATATTGCAAGATACCTGTCTGGGTAAAATACTTCTCGATAAAGTTGGTTATAGAAACATAATTGGTTAGTAAAGTTAAATTTGGGTAATGAAAATTGGGTCGATGAAAGTTAGTTATCGAAATATAAAAGTAAATATAAACGTTGGTAATCGATGAATTAATATTAATTAATAAAAGGTTGGTTCTCCAACCTAGAGAATCACGAACGAGAAGGAAATTCTTCGAAGTAAGATTTGTAAAGAATAGTAGAAAGTATGTTGTTGTTCTATTTTTGTGTTCGCGGAAAGAATCATGCACTTTTGATCGTCCGTGAGCGACTTTTACCTTCACGAGTTACTTTTACCTTCTCAGGTGAGATAAGAGTGAACGAGCAACTCGTGCTAACGTGCATGCACACGTTGATGGCCCGGGAACACAATCGAATCGCAAAGACATTGATTCAAATGAATCCCCACTGGGACGACGAGACGTTGTACCAAGAGGCAAGACGAATCGTCATCGCCGAGATTCAACACATCACCTACAATGAGTTTCTGCCCATTCTACTTGGCAAAGACGTTATGGAGAAGTTTGGGCTGCTGCTTGAGAAAAATGTGAGAGACAAATCTGTGGATTTTTCATTCGTTATTCGTTGTAGACTTTAGCGTGCGTAAGTAATTTAAATATGTATACCAGGAATGGATTTGAAACTGACTTTTTGATTTTCGAAACATTGAGGCTGGAAAAACTTCGGAACTGTCGAAATTCGAAAATGCCTGAGAATTCTCAGAATTCTTGGAACTCACAAACTTCTCATAACTCAGAGCTCTCGAAACTTTCAAAATTCACGAAACTCTCGAAATTCACGAAATTCTCAAGACTCACGAAACTCGCAAACAACTCAAAACTTACGAAATTCTCATAACTCGGAGCTCTCGATATTTTTAAAATTCACGAAACTCTCAAAATTTATAAAACTTTCAAGACTCACGAAATTCTCTTAGACCTCTTAAAACTCACGAAATTCTCAAAACTTACGAAACTCTCAGAACTTTCAAAACTCACGAAATTCTCAAAACTCAGAGCTCTAGAAACTTTCAAAATTCATGAAACTCTCAAAACTTACAAAACCTTCAAAATTCTCAAAACTCAGAGTTCTCGAAACTTTCAAAATTCACGAAATTCTCG